GTTCTCGAATTTGTCCGGTTTAAAGGGATGTGGCAATATTTTTATTTTCTCTAAATATTTTGACTAAAATCAATAAGGTTGCCATAAATTTGTTCACACAGGAATTCTGCCCAGTTCTCGAATTTGTCCGGTTTAAAGGGATGTGGCAATATTTTTATTTTCTCTAAATATTTTGACTAAAATCAATAAGGTTGCCATAAATTTGTTCACACAGGAATTCTGCCCAGTTCTCGAATTTGTCCGGTTTAAAGGGATGTGGCAATATTTTTATTTTCTCTAAATATTTTGACTAAAATCAATAAGGTTGCCATAAATTTGTTCACACAGGAATTCTGCCCAGTTCTCGAATTTGTCCGGTTTAAAGGGATGTGGCAATATTTTTATTTTCTCTAAATATTTTGACTAAAATCAATAAGGTTGCCATAAATTTGTTCACACAGGAATTCTGCCCAGTTCTCGAATTTGTCCGGTTTAAAGGGATGTGGCAATATTTTTATTTTCTCTAAATATTTTGACTAAAATCAATAAGGTTGCCATAAATTTGTTCACACAGGAATTCTGCCCAGTTCTCGAATTTGTCCGGTTTAAAGGGATGTGGCAATATTTTTATTTTCTCTAAATATTTTGACTAAAATCAATAAGGTTGCCATAAATTTGTTCACACAGGAATTCTGCCCAGTTCTCGAATTTGTCCGGTTTAAAGGGATGTGGCAATATTTTTATTTTCTCTAAATATTTTGACTAAAATCAATAAGGGTCAATGCGCTGCCCGCTGTCCTGGATTAATTTTTTATTTCATTAATTAAGGTGTCTCGATACAGTTTTTTCAAATAATTCATGTGGGGTTTGTGGAGCAGATATCGGGATGGTTAAATATTTTAATGTTTCTTCTTTCAAATTATGCCGGTTTTGGTAACATAGCGTGTTGCTATGGCATCACACGCGTAGGAGATTCACTCTAAAGTAGCCTATTGCTCCGAGTAGTTGGATGAAGAAGCACGGTGACAGGGGTGGAAAATTTTTTTCTTTCTGGGAACCTGGGTCAAAGGTTAGAAATTTTGTTAGGCTTTAGTCTGGTTTTCGTATGCTCGTACATCGGAATGGTTGTCTATTATATTCCACAGTTATAATCTTATTTATTCCATCACTTGACTTTTTGTCCGACTTGCATTTTTTTGTACATGTTACAATGTTATGATTATTCTAGTATTATAGCAGTATAATAATGCATTATACCACTGGGACTTGAAGCTTATTTCATTTCATATTTTATTTGTTTACTATTTAATTTGCATTTTATTGGAGACTTTGCAGAGCATATATTTACCATTTTACCTCATTGTGATGGCAGGGGCCACGTAACAGAATTAATTTCTGTCAAATATTTAAAAGGCTGCTGATGTTAGTGTGTACAGTGTAAATAAAGGAGAATAGTTGTACGTTGAGTAAACAGAGTTATCTCAAAATGTTGAAATATTCTCTGGAAAATTGGTTCCGATACTTTTTCACCTCTGCACGGTGAGCCCGAATATTTTTTGTGCATTCTTTCTTCTTAGAAAATTGACTAACAATAGGCAAAATATTAAAAAAAAATTTGTAATGCCATTTTCTTTAATTTAATTAAAAAAGAAAAAAATCATTTTCTTCAATTAAATTTTTTGTATAACGAAAGACTTTTGTATTAAATACAATACAGCGTGTAAAATTTAAATATAGTTCACCGGACAAAATAATGAGATAGACTACAGCGCATTGTTTTTCAAAAATTGGATTTTTTAAATTAATGACGCTGACGTCACCAACATTCAATTCACCACGTCCGTTCATTCGCCGATTTGTGATTAATCTGGTTCATTCAGAAATGAACGCAATTTCAGTGTGCCAGGCAGGTAAACTGACACAGCCATTTATTTTAGTTTAGACCTTAGTACAGTACATGACGAGTTACTTTGCTATTCAGACTATTGCATATACTGTATAACCATCATTTGAGACTTGAGAATATAATGGATATAAGTGCGACTAACCCCAAACATATAAATATATGTACATGTATATATACATGATTGTTTGTATATATTTTGTAATACTTGGGTCATTCCAAGAAGAAATGTAATGTATCTTAATCTACGGCTTTTCCTTTCTTTTATGCTCAAAAACTTCATCCAGTGACGTTTTTACTATGAAAAGTTTGCTTGACTTTTTTTTAGTGTGAAAAGTTTGATATTGAAAAAGCCATTGCATGACTGTTTTTCGAAAAAAACAACCTTTAATAAAATTCCTTCAAACAACTCTTGGTTAGGCATATGCCGCACCTGTTACTGATCTAAATACAGTCACTAAGGACATTGGTCTAACACGAGGGTCGACCGAGAGGGCACGGAATTCATGTGCATAAACAATAAACCTTTCGTCGCACACTTTTATAATAAAATGTCTAAACAAATCGCACAAACAATAAAATCAAGAATATTTTTCATCTGGATTCAACCAAAATTGTGTCGTTTATAGTTCCAGGACTGCATTCCAGTATATTCCGAAGCGAATTCCTGGCGATTTGCGTCCAAATTGACTGTGTTTTACACCAACTTCAGTTATGTGAAGATTCGTAAAAAGATTATGTTCTTTAATTTCAAGTTTCTTTCAGTTGATCATTTTATTTATCACTTTACAAAATACTGTATAACGACTTTTTTGGTTCCCAAATGTCAAAATTATTTTACAGTTAGGAATGTGCTGGGGAGGTGGGTGGGGAGGGGAGGGGTTACACTTTGCCACAGCCCCGCTTCGAACTATCTTCTGCGGTTTTCACCACATCCAGTGGAGTGTTTACCGGGTAGACAACCGCATCAATGGTAGACAACTGCGTCAATATATTACTAGACATGAACAAGGTCAAAAGGTGGCTATAGAAAAAACTTATGTCAGTGTTGCAACTAAATTAATGTTGTTACATGTACTGTATAGTTTACTGAAACAGTAAAAATCTGTCGTTTTAATAAGATTATATACACTCTACCAGCTTGAGTCTTAATATCTTACCGCGAAGTTTAGACGGGTCTGCTAGTATGCACAATTTAGTTCTGTAGTTCTGTTTGTGGCGTAGACTTTACGTCTGGAACAGAAATTGCAGCTGAAATCAATTAGGATTGATGCATTGCATGTATCTTTTTCCAAGTTCTATATTATACCCACACTAGTTACCGGCTATAATAAGCCAGTTTTGCCTTCTACTACAGACTTCCAAAGTCGAAATTTTAAGTCTGATAAGGTTTGCAATGTCGAGAATGCATGTTCCCCACGTCTTCAAACAAACTGTGTAAACGCGATATATTGTTTAGTTCAAAAACAAATGTGGATTACTGGATTTATAGTTTGTCCTCCGAATCTGTATGCAATTAGTAAGACACAAAGTTTATTACTTAGATATACCAGCTGTTGTTTGGCATTTCTGTATTTTCAGTCCTCACGCATCAGAATGATAAATTAATCTGTTTGTCAGTGTTTGATAATGTAATTTGTAATATTTGATAATTACGTAATTTCTAATATTTTCGTGGCAGCACATTACTAGCGATAGTAGCTTCTAGTTCTACTTCCAGAATGATTGCTTCTGACGTATTCAACATTTTTTTGGTGCAGTTATTTTTTGCAAGCCCGGTTCATACGAACAGGTCCAAAGTCTATAGGCATTACTCGTCGTACTGTACTTGATCATATTGTGATTATATTTTATCTTCTTTTTAGCCGTCACATCCCAAGAGAAGAAGAATTGCAAGCCTGGACGATGTCCAGCGTATAAAGGAGGACGGATATGTCCTGAACAATTTGAGATTAAAGAGGAATGTGCCAATGATTTTGAATGTACTGGTAACAAGAAATGCTGCTCTGATGGTTGTGAGCTAAAATGCTCGCCTCCGGCGTCAGGTAATCACTTATACTTGATGTTTGTGATGTTACTCTGAGTGTATATCCACACCGGGAAAGCTTGAAAAATATGCCTGGCCAACGGTGGGAATCGAACCTACGACCTTTGGAACGAACCAAAGGTCGTAGGTTCGAACCAAACGAACCAAAGGTCGTAGGTTCGATTCCCGTCGTGGCCGGGCATATTTTTCAAGCTTGCCCAGTGTGGATATACACTCAGAGTAACATCACAAACATCATATTCACCTGAGTACATAACACCAACACAGAAAATCACGTATACTTGGTTGATGAATATCTTAATCTGGCACCATGCAAAGTACTGTACATGCATGTAGATTTTATCCTTGTGGAGGTAACCGATGTTTCGAATGAAGGTGTTACGCCGGTATCCTAGGAAATCTCCCCCTCCCCTTAAATCCCCCGGCCTTGTTTCCTTGGAAATTTGGCCATCTCTTAGGAAATTTGGACTCCCGTTTATGTACATTATTTCACAAATGGTGTGAAGTCTCGAGAAGATACTGTAGTGATGGCATAATAGGCATTTTTCGTTATCTTAATCCTTGTCATCTTCCCAACAGTTTGTTTATATATATACTGTACAGTATGCAAATACATTTCCACAAATATCTTGTCTTGATCAATAGAAGTTTATCCGCTGTGTTGCCTAATGATATCCTTGCAAAACAGCAATTTTCAACCCTCCGATCAATGTTGAAATTTTATAAATTGGTCAGGTAAATGCTTTATGAAATACCATGTCACAATCAACATTGGATGGGGGAGCGGGGGTTACAAAGATACCAATATGTAGCTATACTTGGACAAATTTCATTCGTTGTTGCAAAAGTTCGCCTAGAGAAAGCTTCGGACTTCAAAATTATCCATTCACATTCAACGCTAACAAAGATCACGTGATCCGCTGGCTTAATGCCCAAACTCCCAGTTACATTTTTGGCTTTCCCTTTTGGCTATGATTTCACAAAATTGCGTGAAATTAATTGAATATCAAAATATTTACTACAATATGGTCATTTTATGAATGCTAAAAAGATTTATTTACTATTTACAAGCCTATTGGTTCTGCAGTTCATAAGACTATTCATAAATTTTCTGCGCTGAGAAACACTAACATGTTCGCCTTGTTTGGGTTCAGATGTGCTCGCTTTGCCGTTACTATCTCCCCAGCTTAACTAAAACGTCTCTCAGTTGCAGCACTGCTAGCTCTGGAATTTCGCAACAAACAACGAGTTACAATGAGCTGTGATACTTTGATACTTTGTTTTGAAACCTTAAGATTATATTATTCAAATAAGTGCACATTCCATCTTTATGAGTCATCACACAGCTATTCTTTTCAAGCGTTCAACTGTCACTTGTGTGGGTAGTCCGGTTGTGATCTTTTGTGATAAACACTTCCCCGCCTGTGTTTACTAGACTTTACCGTGAAATAATTTCGATAAAACTTTCCGGATATATTTTCGGTATTTTCGATATTTTCGGTATTCGAAAAATCAAATATCGATATTTTTATCGACTATATCGATATATCGCAACAGCCTAATTTTGCCTTGATCGCATGCGAGAAGTGTAGAGGCTATTACATATACCAATCACCGCATGGTTTCTCTTTGAACACAGTCTTGTTTCCTACAGAGGCTAAGTAGCAAAATTAATTGATTAATTGGGCCGGGTGATAAAGAATGAAAAAACAATTTAGTAACGTCATGTATTTTACTCTCTGCAGAGGATACTGCACCAAAGCCGAATGATTTGGTACAATATTGCAAAGCTGGGGAATGTCCAGTCTATGCCGTTCGTGAAGACTGTCCTCATTTCTGGGAACTCCAAGATGAATGTTACTTTGACTTTCAATGTCCCAAGGACCAAAAGTGCTGTTCAGATGGTTGTGAACTACGCTGTATGGCTTTACAGAAAGGTATTTTTTTATTGTCAGTGCTTTGTTTTGTTAGTTTATTTCAATTTATAGACTTTCTTAAATCTATTTTTCCTAAAATAAAAATTAAAATATAGATTAAATTTGGTCCATTCAAGAAACCTATCAAATCAGGTCGGCAAGGTTTTGTCGACATAAAACGAAAGCAGGAGTCTGCAAATTTAAGTTTTCAACAATATTTGTATCATGTAGTAAAACTCAATTCAAATAACACTACTGTATAGATACGTTTAGCATGCATATGCAATTACTATTGATCCATGTAAAGGCAAGATTATTATAATCATCGTCTGCTTTTCTCTTTTACTCTAAATATGCACAGGTTGTCAATTTTTTACCGTTTTGAGTCCTGACATGCCTGTAGTCTGTAACCTGTAGATCGGCATGGCCGATAGCCGACCTGAATTCCGAAGCCTGTCAAATTGTATATTCGATTTTTTAACAATAAGTATCCTGATTTCATCGTAAATTACACAGGGTTCTTCTATAGGGTATCCCAATATACGCAATATATTGTAGCTATGCTTCAGATTTTTCCACAGCTAATTCGTGGGCATTGAAAATTCAATCTATAAGAGATGAATTTTGACAATTAGAATATTAATATTGTACTGTCTGTGCCAGTGTAGATAGTGCCAATAATATGAACAAGCTTTCGTTGATGGGGATGCAACTACCTGAAAAATATAAGGAGAATTTCGAATATAATATTCGATATTTTTCAGGTAATTGCATCCCTACCAACGAAAGCTTATTCAGATTATTAATATGGCTGGTCTAGTAGAGCCGATGTTATGTTCAGTCTGGTTAACCCAATGAACCATTGAAATAATGCATCAGTTGTGTTCAGTATGAAAAGGTTCGATGGTCCCATCTTAGTGTCAAAATTCATCTCCTACAGTAGATGGAATTTTTGACACAGCTATTGCACGTTTTTGAAGACACCCTGCACAATTTGACATATCTTTCAAATAAAATTTTAACTACTTGAATTAATTTTTTTTTCAACTATCACTTGACACTGCCAAATGCCGTTAAATACTTTACAATTTTGTTCACAGCTGCATTGACCTAATTTCTTTATGCATGTTTGGTATGTCCTTTGAGTTATATACATGAATAATAAAAAAATTCCAATCACCTGTAATATGAAGATAAACATGAACATGAATCTGAATTTTTCTTGCTAAGCATTTTGAACAGGAAAAGGGGCACCCTTCAATCACGCGACTATTGTGTTCAATATTTCTTCATTTCGACTACTCATTCAATTTGTTTGCCTAATTTTTTAGAAAATGCAACCGTGGCTCCTACTACTAAATCTACGGGTAAGTCTTGACTAACTTTCATAAACGAATATTTTTAAGAGTATGGTAGATTTGATTTGCAGAGGCTTTCAACGTTTCCCGAGACGAGGCCGGTCGAGGGAAACATAAGATTCGAGGGAAACAAAACAAACTATACAGTGACGAAGAAAAATAAACAATATCCAAAAAACAATATTATTTCATGAATAAAACTATTTAATGTAAATTATTTGAACAATAAAATAACCTGCTAAAAAGGTTTCAGCAGAATTTCCTTTTGAGAATATTTCTTCTCTCGTAGATACTGCATTACACTCGTAAACTGGAAAAAACTTTCTTTTTGCTGTAAACTTTCGACTCCATTACTTAGCCGGTTAGAGAGCAACAATTTGTATTTTTTAACTTGTCGCCCAGCGGGTTACATTACACTTGTCCACTGTAACTCATGCACGTGACCACAAATCAGCCAATCACGTTTAGTTTAAACACTAGCTACAGTATATAGCAATTTATTTTACTGTATTTGTTGTATTTGCTCGTAAGTTAGAATGAATCATGTAATGGACCATTTGCATTATAGACTAAATTTTGATCTAGACAAAAATCTCATCACAGCTTGAAAGAGCATCACAAAATTAGTAATATTCCATAGTTTCGTTGCGAAATGTTGTAAATGCGGATAATATAGCCATGCGAAGTTTGCCGTGTTTCAGTCATTTAACTCATTTTGTAATACGCACGGAAAATTGACAGCCCAATCGGGTGTCGGGGCATCAATTTCCCGTTTGTAATACAAAATGACTGAAAATTGCAAATTTCGCAAGGCTATATTATCAGCATTTTACAACATTTCGCAACGAAACTTTGGAATATTACTAATTTTCTGATGCTCTTTCAAGCTGGGATGACATTTTTATCTAGATCAAAATTTAGTCTATAATGCAAATGGTCCATTTAAGGTGGCTGGTAATCTCTGTACATTCACATTTTGAGAAGTACAATGGACTTCATGATACGCAATATGGAAAGAATGCCATTCTTTGAAAGACTGAAACTATATATATAGAAATAAGTGGATTAATCTTGTGTTTTTTCTACTCACCTGGCCACCGTGGAAGCGTTATTAATCCCCAAAACTAAGTAAAAAACACAACTTTCAAATGACAACAGCGTATCAAAAATAGCTATATTCACGTCATACGATCCATAATCCGCTATAAATGTTTCCATCGATTATATAATTCGATCAGTTGTCGTCATCCTCGTAATGCCGTCCTACAGTGTACTGTGTATGGTCAAGCTATCCACAGGCAGTGCCTATGAGTATTTAGTATAATTTCAGTATTGAAAAATGGCCTTTGAGGATTCTGATTGGCTCCCTGAGCAGTAACTCTGAGGCAATAGTTACTGCTCAGACTGCACTGAGCAGTAATTACTGTTGCTTTTCCCAAAAAAATGGCCGGAAAATTGAAAATCAGATGGAAATAAATTATTTATGCAAATTATATTCATAAAATAAACACGTGTATTAGTTGTATTTATATTAAGTAAAACTTTTTCAATACTGAAATTATACTAAAACAATTAGTCGCCTCAGGCTCGGTGATTACAAGCCTATATTCACTTTGCCTTCGGCTCAGTGAATATAGGCTTGTGATCACCTGGCCTTCGGCGACTAATTGTTAATTAGTACCTTCTTGATCCGATAGCCTATTGGAAACCTTTTCGAAACTAAAACCAACCTATATACAGTATTTAGTAAAAATCAAGAATATTTGTTATGTCAAAGCATTGTCCTTCTTCACGTTCGCACTTCTCACTACTCGTCCAATATTTGTCCTACCGGCCTCAAATAAATTCTCGTTTCCCGGCCGGAAAATATACCGACAATCACAGCCCACAGCGTTAGGCATATGTAAATCACGCGTTCACGACACAAAAAATTCGTCATTTCACGAGAACAGATATTAGCAATTATCGCCGCACGAAAGTATTCTTTTACGAAAATCACTATCCGATGGATAGCGCTATCCTGCCTTGGTTGGCCATCCGTTGTCATTCTTAGGAGGACTCCAACTTGGGTGGATTTTCTGTGCTTGTACACTGCACGTCAGAGGATTCCGCGTTTACCTATAGCAGAGTTCGTTGCTTTAGTTTATGGATATTTTCTGAGATTGTTTGACATTCAAAACAACATTTTGTTGAATTGATTTTGCATGTTGACAAAGCTGTTTGAAATCCATTAAAGTTGCGCCCTTTGCGAACAATTCAACGTCACATTTTAATGATTTCTAACGCCTTCTCTTCAGTATTTAGTCCTTGAATTTGCTGATACACGGCCTTGGATGTCCTTAAACTGAAAGTTCTTGAATTTGACTCGTTCTGTCATGCACGAGCCCGGCCATGGGAAATAATGATTTCTAACGCCTTCTCTTCAGTATTTAGTCCTTGAATTTGCTGATACATGGCCTTGGATGTCCTTAAACTGAAAGTTCTTGAATTTGACTCGTTCTGTCATGCACGAGCCCGGCCATGGGAAATGATAATTTACAAAATAGAATTGCCTACTGTATACATGTTGGACACTGCAAGTTTATGAAATGATCTTGATACTGTATTTTGAGACCTTACTACGGGTTTTAATTTTTCTTTATTTTTAGGTCCAGATCCAACAGACGATATCTGTAAGTAATTTGTTAGAAGGGCCGCAAATTTCTTAGAAACGTCTTAACCAAGATCTGGAATTTGGGCGTCCAAATTTGCGATTTTGCTTACAACTTAAAGTAACATTTACGCGGCGATAAATCTCTTGGATGGTATAAAGACATGTACATGTACTGTACTCCCTGGCAATTTTGCGTATAATTACCATTTATTTTTGATAGCTTATTGAGCTACTGTATTTCATTGGAATTGCTTCCAGTTTGACGGCCAATGTTCTTAGACAATGGCAGGAAAACGATAGAACAAATGATAGAACTGTATTGAGTTGTTATTCTATATTCAAATTATTTTTATGCACTCGTCCTTCGTGTAATTTTCATCGTGTTTGAAATACTCACTCGTGCATGTTTTTTATGTTTTTTTTCCAAATTGCACGCGAAACCATACTATTACCTATACAAAACTTACTAATTACGATTTTTCGTATTATTCTAGTTGTAGGTGGTAACGAAACAAGAAAGCCAACCACAGGTAAGTCAAACTGCAGTCAAAGCATTCCATTAAGATTTAAAGGTCCACAAGGGGTCCGTCGCTGGATAAATCAGTTGTGTGGCCATATCCACAAGTACTTGTGTGTAAAATCGTGCACTGTTTTTGACATGTGCATGGTTGAATGTGTCACCATACTGTACCATTATACAACTCCAGTATTTGCTTAAGTGAATCCTTTGCCCAATCAAGGTTCACAAAAATACACGTTTCACATCAAATCGCCTTCGTTGTTTACAAGATCGGGCTGTGTTCGGGCATAAATATGATTAATGGACGACACATTGATTGCAATAGTTCGTCAAAACGACAGAGGTTTATACCCATTTCACAACTTTTGATGACTCGCATGTAGGGTTCCTTATTTCCACTTTATGCAAGTTATCTTTTTTTCTATCATATGCTCTGGTAAACTACTGTAGAACATGCGGGTTAATTAGGTGACAACGATGAAAACAAACTTGTCTATTATGTAGACATCAGTTCATATACAGTACTAAAATATCTCAAACGCATACATCCACACGTATCCGCATCTGTAGCATTTTCAAAAGTTTCCAATTTGGATACCGTTTTTTAACGCAAACATTTTTATATAATGGGAAAAAATAGTGAAATCCATACGGTATGGAATTTGCAATTGTCTCACTAAATCCATAGTATATCCATATTGTTTCCATATTATATCCATGGTATGGTATGAAATCGGTATAAAAATTGGATTTCCACATTATTTCCAACGAAGATCCATGCTATTTCCGTAGTAAGGATTTTGAAATTCCAATGTTCAGGTGCATACGTGCGGTCCGAGCCTAATAATTAACTGTAAGTACTATTAGTTTTATTAACAGTTTATTTACGGAATGTTTTTCTTAGTGGAAGTCCCAATGACTTTCAGACCGACGACTGAAGACGTTACTTCTGGCGTTTCCACTCCCGTCTTTCCCACTGGAGCTAGTTCAACTTTAGCCGGTTAGTATAATGTATTTGTAATACAGGGGTGCATATACTGTAATTACCATTATCTTCCCGGGGGGGGGGGCGTAGGCGGAAAAGTCAGGGATTTGGGGGAAGAAAGTGTCCCTGAATGAGGAGATAAAATGGCAGAGGAAGAAAAATAGAAATTGACAGCAATAAGAATCTCAACTCAAAATATTTGAAATTGCACAATTTTTGTTTATCTCTTATTAAGAAATTCTCCTCGGAAATGGAAAAAAATGCAGTATCATGACTAAACAATTGGCAGCTCAGCCTCGCCTTTGGTCAAAAGGTTTTAAAACCTGAGTAGTCACCATGCTGATAAATCTCTGATTATCACCTTTTTGGCCAAGTCTCGCCTAGATAGGGAAAGAAAATGCCAATGGTACTTCAAATTTGGGTGTGGGAAAAATTAACCTTACTGGAAACTATATACACCCTTTTTGTAATGTTTTTTCTTACATGCTAAGCCATACTGTACTGTACGTGTGTTTGTCATGCTGTTAATTGTACCTTACAGTGTTTGGTATTATTTCTGGTTTCGAGGGAGGGCATGTCCATCAGAACTTACATTGGGAATCCGCCCAAATTGTTTTAAACCTAGGGTGATTCGCATATACATGTAATAGTTCCAACACGTTTTCTTGTATTTTATTCAGCTGGTATATACTATTTCCGTGTGGTTATGCAGAATTCGTATCGATACGATGTAACTGTTACCACAACCATGAAGGACACAAGATATAGGGAAATTGTTATTCCTGGAAGACAGAAGCACACGATAGATATTAAAATCGACAGTTTGGATCTCGTACAAATAACGGCAAAGAACCCATCAGGTCAACCAGTTTTGTTGAATAATGTGTTTTCTCAGCAAATGTCTGGAACAGTTGCACGAGAAGCTCCGCAAAAAATCTACATTGGAGATGGAGGTAAAATATTTGTATATAGAGTACCACTTTAAAATGGCTAGAGTATAAAGTAGAAAGTCTTAGCCGGATTCTAAAATGAGAACAAATTCATTGATCGTTACGAATGAAACACAAGAATCACTCTGCTGTCTTGGCAACGAGGCAGCATATTATTCTTGATGTGCTATGATTTCTCCATAGTCCACTCGACCATTGGTCCACTCGATATGGTTTCTCTATAGAGACCATCTCGATTTTGTGTCTGTCTGTAGCTAAAGTTGTTGTAATTCTGGGGAAATAATTAAGCTTCACGAAGTTTTTTAAAAGAGGGGGCAGTCAAACATTATTATGTCTGGCGAAGGCACGATTCTTGATAAAAAAATGATTGCCTGATGAAAATTAGAATTGTAAACATCCACCAAATAATGGGGGCGTGAACACGATACAGATTTGTTGATGTGTTCGCACACTTTGGTGACACCACATGCAGCCCACTCCGGGTCTTAATATAGCTCAATGTTTATAGCATTACTATTTACAGTATGCACTATTTAATAGACGAGCATGAGTGCTTTATCACATATTGCACACTCGCGTTTTATATCTGATAAAACACGGACTACGAGGGTTCTAAATCGCTTGAAAAACAACCCATTTCATGTTTGCGTTAACGGGCAAAGTAATTTTAAAAATCAACGTTGTCTAAGCCGAGAAAATCAAAGTAAACTTTGTGTCACTAAAATATTTTTTATCATGCAAACTAGAAGATTATCAAGGTTCATTTTCGTATTTAATATATAGCTCCTGAAACAACACAAGCTCCAACTGATGTTGCTGAATCAACACAAGCTCCAACTGATCGTGCTGTGTCAACCCAAGCTCCTACTGATGCGGCTGAATCAACACAAGCTCCTACTGATGCTGCTGAATCAACACAAGCTCCAACTGGTGCTGCGGTGTCAACAGAAACTCCAACTGATGCTGCAGAATCAACAGAAGCTCCAACTGATGCTGCTCAATCAACAGAAGCTCCAACTGATGCCCTTGAATCAACACTAGCTCCAACTGATGCTGCCGAATCAACACAAACTCCAACTGATGCTGTTGAATCAACACAAGCTCCAACTGATGCTGCCGAATCAACACAAACTCCAACTGATGCGGCTGAATCAACACAAGCTGCGACTGATGCTGCTGAATCAACACAAGCTTCAACTGATGCTGCTGAAACAACACAAGCTCCAACTGATGCCGCTGACTCAACACTGGCTCCAACTGATGCTATTGAATCAACACAAGGTCCAACTGAAGCCGTTGAATCAACACAAGCACCAACTGATGCTGCTGAATTAACACAAGCTCCAACTGATGCTGCGGTGTCAACAGAAGCTCCAACTGATGCTGCAGAATCAACAGAAGCTCCAACTGAACCTGCAGAATCAACAGAAACTCCAACTGATGCTGCTGAATCAACAGAAACTCCAACTGATGCCCTTGAATCAACACAGGCTCCAACTGATGCTGCCGAATCAACACAAACTCCAACTGATGCTGTTGAATCAACACAAGCTCCAACTGATGCTGCCGAATCAACACAAACTCCAACTGATGCTGTTGAATCAACACAAGCTCCAACTGATGCTGCCGAATCAACACAAACTCCAACTGATGCGGCTGAATCAACACAAGCTGCGACTGATGCTGCTGAATCAACACAAGCTCCAACTGATGCTGCTGTATCAACACACGCTCCAACTGATGCTGCTATGTCAACACAGACTCCAACTGATGCTGCTGTATCCACTGAAGCTCCAACTGATGCTGCTGAATCAACACAAGCTCCAACTGATGCTGCTGAATCAACAGAAGCTCCAACTGATGTTGTTGAATTAACACAACCTCCTACTGATGCTATTGAATCAACACAAGCTCCTACTGATGCCGCTGAATCAACGCGCACTCCAACTGATGCTGCTGAATCGACACAGGCTCCAACGGATGGTACTGAGTCAACACAAGCTCCAACTGATGCTGCTGAATCAACAGAAGCTGCAACTGATGCTGCTGTATCAACAGAAGCTTTGACTGATCTTATGTCAACTCAAGCCCCAACTCCTTATACTGGAACAGGTAGGATTTTTTGTTTTAGGTCATTGGAAAGACTTTTCCTTTTAATTTTTGGTACAGTTGCGGTCTTATGAATTTATTACACACGAAGTACAGTGCAGTATGTTAGTGATCCTTGTCCGATTAGAGAGTTCACATTCATTTTTGAAATGGTCAAATTGAACGTTATTAGTATGTATAGTCCTGCGTAATGTTTCGCCTGCTAATTTTTAGGCTCTGCTGTCGTTACTGATGTTAGTGGTGTTGGAGGATCAGCTTCGACTAGGCCAGGTAAGTTCGATTTTTAATTACCTTCATGTAGTATTAAATCAGAATTGTTTCTTTTTTTTAGGTATGTGCGTGGCAAAGTTAAATAAATAAATAAATAAATCTATCATTGAATTGAAAAGTTTTCTGTTAACCGAGTGAATAGTACTCGACACTAGATGCTAGACCTTAGAATAAACCACTGTGTGGTGATTTCATATCTTGATTTAAAAGAAACAACTGCATATAGAACTTGACTACAGTATATACATTAGATCCAAGTTCATACAACCCAAAAAACAAGAAGTTTGAAAACGTCAAACTGTTGTGCACATGAATGATTTGAAAACTGTATCGAGGCACCTTAAAGCCTTTGCGCATTGTGGCTACTGATAACATATGGACTACCGACATGCATTGTGCATTGTTTTCATGGGCCATAAATAACTCGCACTGTTGCCTTCGAACATTTAATCTTCAAAAGTAATTAAGACGTAGTTATAGAATTCATGCAGTGGCTTGGAAAAAAAATAACTATACATGTACTATATTCTACGAATTGCTACAATTTTCCTAATTGAAATAAGTATGTACTGTACCTCTGTTCTAGTTTATCCTTACTCCTTACGCAAACACACTTTTTCCAAGGTTCTGCTTTGGGCAACAATGTTGCAAACAAGCATTAGCCAAATTTGGGTGTTCTTGCGAATACATTTTATGAAAGAATTCCAAGCAGTAACAATGGTTTTATAGATTTCGGTGTAAGCGAAAACATAATTTACTGTACCTACATGTATACCTTATTTCATATCAGTGTTTCCGTCTCCAATAGAACCGCAACCAACCACTGTTGCACCAACCCAAGCCCCAACCGATGCTGCTGAGTCAACACAAGCTCCAACTGATGCTGCTGAATCAACACATGCTCCAACTGATGCTGCTGAATCAACACAAGCTTCAACTGATGCTGCTGAATCAACACAAGCTCCAACTGATGCTGCTGTATCAACACACGCTCCAACTGATGCTGCTATGTCAACACAGACTCCAACTGATGCTGCTGTATCCACTGAAGCTCCAACTGATGTTGCTGAATCAACACAAGCTCCAACTGATGCTGCACTATCAACAGAAGCTCCAACTGATGTTGTTGAATTAACACAACCTCCTACTGATGCTATTGAATCAACACAAGCTCCTACTGAAGCTGCTGTATCAACACACGCTCCAACTGATGCTGCTATGTCAACACAGACTCCAACTGATGCTGCTGTATCCACTGAAGCTCCAACTGATGTTGCTGAATCAACACGAGCTCCAACTGATGCTGCACTATCAACAGAAGCTCCAACTGATGTTGTTGAATTAACACAACCTCCTACTGATGCTATTGAATCAACACAAGCTCCAACTGAAGCTGCTGTATCAACACACGCTCCAACTGATGCTGCTATGTCAACACAGACTCCAACTGATGCTGCTGTATCCACTGAAGCTCCGACTGATGTTGCTGAATCAACACAAGCTCCAACTGATGCTGCTGTATCAACACAAGCTCCAACTGATGCTGCTATATCAACTCAAGCTCCAACTGACGCTGCTGAATCAACACAAGCTCCAACTAATGCTGCTGAATCAACACTAGCTCCAACTGATGCTGCTGAATCAACACTAGCTCCAACTGATGCTGCTGTATCAACACAAGCTCCAACTGATGCTGCTATATCAACACAGACTTCAACTGATGCTGCTGAATCAACACAAGCTCCAACTGATGTTGCTGAATCAACACAAGCTCCAACTGATGCAGCTGAATCAACACAAGCTCCAACTGATGTTGCTGAATCAACAAAAGCTCCAACTGATGTTGCTGAATCAACAAAAGCTCCAACTGATGCTGCTGTATCAACACAAGCTCCAACTGATGCTGCTGTATCAACACAAGCTCCAACTGATGCTGCTGAATCAACACAAGCTCCAACTGATGCTGCTGAATCAACACAAGCTCCAACTGATGCTGCTGAATCAACACAAGCTCCAACTGATGCTGCTGAATCAACACAAGCTCCAACTGATGCTGCTGTATCAACACAAGCTCCAACTGATGCTGCTGAGTCAACACAAGCTCCAACTGATGCTGCTGAATCAACACTAGGTCCAACTGATGCTGCTGAATCAACACAAGCTCCAACTGATGCTGCTGTATCAACACAAGCTCCAACTGATGCTGCTGAGTCAACACAAGCTCCAACTGATGCTGCTGAGTCAACACAAGCTCCAACTGATGCTGCTGAATCAACACAAGCTCCAACTGATGCTGCTGAGTCAACACAAGCGCCAACTGATGCTGCTGAATCAACACTAGGTCCAACTGATGCTGCTGTATCAACACAAGCTCCAACTGATGCTGCTGAGTCAACACAAGCTCCAACTGATGCTGCTGAATCAACACTAGGTCCAACTGATGCTGCTGAATCAACACAAGCTCCAACTGATGCTGCTGTATCAACACAAGCTCCAACTGATGCTGCTGTATCAACACAAGCTCCAACTGATGTTGCTGAATCAACACAAGCTCCGACTGATGTTATGTCAACACAAGTCCCAACTGCCTATACTGGAACAGGTACAGTAGGATGTTTTGTTTTAGTTCATTCGAAAGGCTTTTCAGTTTAATTTTAAATACAGATGTGGTCTTATGCATTTATTACACACAAAGTAAAGTATATGAGTGATCCTTGTCGGATTAGATGGTTGACGTTGATTTTTGAAATGGTCGAATTGAACATTAGAGCATGTTTGTTAATGTTTCGCGTTGTAGAAATTTTTCTTAAAATTCTTACCTGCTCTTTACACGGAAGAATAGACGGCCAAGACTGTTCAAAAAACAGATCGCCTGCTGCAATATTGTTTGGATGCGTTAATACTGTAGTTTGTGGGAAGATAATAATTGTTAGAATGAAAGAACTTAATTCAAAGAACTTATAATAATTGTTACTGTTATGTGATGTTATTCATACATTTTCGCATATTGAATGATTGACAGGGTGCTTCGGACGTTTAGTAGAGATATATAACGGTGTAATTTGAATGTTGGCACTGTTAGGATTCGTCTTTATCTGTTTGGTTAATTTTTAGGCGCTGCTGTCGTTACTGATGTTAGTGGTGTTGGAGGGTCAGCATCGACTAGGCCAGGTAAGTTCGATTTTTAATTGCCTAGAATTTAATCAGAAAGGTTTCTTATTGTTTAGGTATGTGTGTCGCAAAGTTAAATAAATAAATATATAATTAAATTGAAAAGATTTCTGTTAAACCGAGAGAATAGTACTCGACACTACATCTTAGACCTTAGAATAAAACTATTGTATGGTAATTTCGTATCTTGACTTTATAGAATCAACTTCATATAGAACTTGACTACATAGAACCAAGTTTATAAAACTCAAAAACACGAAGTTTGAAAATGTCAAACTCTTGTTCACATGAATGAGGCACCTTAAAGCCTTTGCGTATTGTGGGTAGTGATAATAACATCTAGACTTGGTATATGCATTGTGCATTGTTTTCATGTGCCTTAAATAGCTCGCACTGTTGCGCCTTGAAACACTTAAATTTCAAGTTGCCTTGAAACACTTAAATTTCAAGTACTTAAGACGTGCTGTAACCTACAATTTAATTTCACTTTTTATTTTTTGTCAATATTTCAGTTATTATTTACCATCTGAATGTCACAATTGTGAACGTTTACGGAAAAACTGTCAAAATCCTCGTGGCCCTTCCTGGTCAAGCACCTAAGCAAATTGATATTGCCGCTGATGGAAGTTATCTAATCAACTCTACAACACCTTCTGCACCTCAACAAATAGTCATCACAGCATATGATGCAGAAACATTTGCTCCAGTCAACATAGACGGCAAGAACTCAGTTTTTGTATTCCCAAGTGTTACACCAGTCAGTGTTGTCTACTATATTCCTTCTGGTGAGTTACAGTATGGAGAACAATTGAATAAGCTTTGTTTATCCCCAATTCTCCGATATGGGTAGCTCTCATATAGTTATAGAATTCGTGCAGTGACTTGGAATAAAGATGACTAAGTATTATGTTTATGCTACGAATAGATACAATTTTCGTAATTATAATGCGTAGGTAGTACTAGGTACCTGTGTTCTAATCTATCCTTGCGCTAACATCCTTTTTCCAAAATTCTTCATTGGGCAACAATGTAGAAAACAAGCATTAGCAAAATTTGTGTGTTTTTTGGAAGTACATTTTATGAAAGAATTCCAAGTAGTAACAATGGTTTTATAGATTTCGGTGTAAACGAAAACATAATTTATTGTACCTATACGTTATTTCATATCAGTGTTTCCGTCTCCAATAGAACCACAAACAACTACTGTTCCACCAACCCAAGGCCCAACTGATGCTGCTGAATCAACACAAGCTCCAACTGAAGCTGCTGAATCAACGCAGGCTCCAACCGATGCTGCAGAATCAACACAAGCTCCAACCGATGTTGCTGAATCAACACAAGCTCCAACTGATGTTGCTGAATCAACACAAGTTCCAACTTATGCTGAATCAACGCAGGCTCCAACCGATGCTGCAGAATCAACACAAGCTCCAACCGATGTTGCTGAATCAACACAAGCTCCAACTGATGTTGCTGAATCAACACAAGTTCCAACTTATGCTGCTGAATCAACACAAGCTCCAACTGATGCTGTTGAATCAACACAAGCTCCAACTGATGCTGCTGAATCAACAGAAGCTCCAACTGATACTGCTGAATCGACACAAGCTCCAACTGATGCTGCTGAATCAACACAAGCTCCAACTGATACTGCTGAATTAACGCAAGCTCCAACTGATACCGCTGAATCAACACAAGTTCCAACTGTTGTTGCTGAATCAACACAAGCTCCAACTGATGCTGCTGAATCAACACAAGCTCCAACTGATGCTGC